TTTTTTGGTATTCTGTTTTTAAATCACCTGAGTAAGGTATAGTGATATGTTCATTTAACATGGCTAGACACAGAGATGGGATGCCAAGTAAGAATTTCAAATGAAGTTCAGTGATATCTCAGACCTCAAATTTCTGATATAAGCATATGCTTAGTGGTTGTCTCTGAAAGTGTAAATCCTTTGAATAATGTGCTATGAAGTTACCTAAACACCATTAGCTTTGTAAAGCCTTTCAAGCAAAGTAGCTTCCAAAATAACTGTAAGAACAACAAAAAGTATCATTTTCTTCACTTATCAGTCATCATCTAGCACTATTTCTGGAAGAGAAGTTTTGAATTACCATGTAAAACTTATCTGCAAATAATTTTGTAATTTATTTGTAAATTATAAAGTGTCCTATATTTGTTTTCATTAAATTATTAAGTAATTTATATTTTCCTTTTCCTGGAACCAAATCATAACATTTGTGCTCGCTGACTTTCTGATGAATTAGATAGTAAGTTGGCTAATGTTTTGGATATCAAACTTCTATGAGTTGCAGCTATCTTGAGCTTGGCCCAGTGCCTTTTGGAGGCCTATTTGGAGGTCCTTGCCATCAAGAAGTTTGTCCTGGGTTTGGAAGAGAAGTTTTCAAGCAGTAAAATGGTTCCCACTTGTTTATTCTATGCCAGGTCCTCTGCTCAGATACTGTGATGTATGTTATACTTGATGGTGTGGGCATAAAAGTGAATTGCGATTTCTAGCTTGGGAGATCAAAGAAGGCTTCCCAGTGAACATTGTATTTGAGAAGTGCTTCACTTGATGGTTAGGATTCCAAGCCATGACTAATGGGACGAGGGTATTTGGGATCTAAAACATGATTCAGAGAAAAGCCTCTCTTACTGGTCAAGGTTCATGGTACAGGGATGTAGGAAGTGCTGGTGTCCAGGCTAGAGAATGGAAAAGCTGTTGGGGACACCTGTCATATGGAAAGATGAACCAACTGGGATAATAATTTAATAATAATAATAAAATGGTGAGTTAGGAACACAGGTAATTGATACTGTAAAAGTGGCAGTCGTATTGGGTGATGGAAAAAGAAAAGTCAATAATGACTCATTTTTCTACCTTGCTGTTTGAGGAAAATTATATAAATAAAAAAGTAGAAAACCCATGACAGGCAGTTTTAGAGTAAAAGAGAAATGAGAAGGTTGGTGTAGTGGGACATCTAGTAATGTGTGGAATGCTGGAATAACAGGTTGAAAGGAGCGGAGAGTGACAGGTACAGATCTGGGGACCACTGGAACGTGGCTTTGAATGAGATTGTCTTGAGACAATGAGTAGGAGGAAGGGGTGCTAAGCACCAGCTACATTTCCTTCATTCATTACATACTGAGTATTTCATTGTGTCTGCCACAGAGTCAGACAGGAACGCTGCGTCAGTTAACAAGTCAGAACACCACCTCACCCGTGAGAACTTATCTTCCTGTGTCTGTGGTTCTTAAAGAATCTTTCTGGGTTTTCAAGACAGGCTTTCTCTGTGTAGCTTTGGAGCCTGTCCTGGAACTCACTCTGAAGACCAGGCTGGCCTTGAACTCACAGAGATCCACCTGCCTCTGCCCCCCGAGTGCTGCTATTAAAGGCATGTGCGGCCACCACTGCCCTGCCCTCCTACCCTTTTAAAAAGATTCATTCATTCATTCATTCATTCATTCATTCATTTATTTTAAGAATATGCTCTATGTGCATGTACAACTTTATACCAGAAGAGGGCATGCAATCTCACTAGAGATGGTTGTGAGCCACATGTGGTTGCTGGGAATTGAACTCAGGTCCTCTGGAAGAGCAGCTAGTGCTCTTAACTGCTGAGCCATCTCTCCAGCACCCTTGTTAAAGAATCTTAATCCAGTCATTTCTATATAATATCATATAAGTCAGTTACAACCAAGAAATCAAAAATCAAAAGTGAAGTCGAAAGTCTGAAAAAAGGGCCCTTTTTTATGGTAGCAATATGATAAATAATGATACCAATAGAACAGTTTTAGTAGATTATTAGGATAGATACCACTCCGAGAATGAGAAAGTAGTAGGTAAGAAGTGGTAATGAGTTATATAGACTCTAATCATTACTACTTGGTTCTTTGTAAGGTTACATATAAACTATCTTTTCGGGAAAGAAAAAAAAGAAAAAATGTTAATGGACTTTTGTTTCAACAAGGACAGGTCTCATGTGAGCATCCTTATAGATGTGTGTAGGCACAGTCACCTGAGAATAAAGGAAGGTCTGAAGGGTTCAAGGAAGGCTAGAAAAAACATGAATGATTAATGTTTTCTGATTCTCATCCAAATATAATAATCAGAACTGATTTAACCTCCTAAA